CCGTCATATGACGGACATCATCAGAGCGAGGTAACATCGTCACAATAAAATTCAAGCTTACGAGTCAAGACGGACGAAAGCTCAGCACGGGTTCACCTGAATCGAAGGAGATCCCTCGGAAACAGCGTCAGCATGAATCTTCCAGTAAAGCCAATCGACAGCTGGTCAAGAGAAATTCGCCGTTGCTCGGAAACAGCGTCAGCATGAATCTTCCAGTAAAGCCAATCGACAGCTGGTCAAGAGGAATCCGCCGTCTTCTATGATGTTCGTCATATGACGGACGAAAGCTTAGCACCTTTTCACCGGAATCGAAGAAGATTACCTCGGAAATGCATGAATCTTCCAGTAAAGCCAATCGACAGCTGGTCAAGAGGAATCCGCCGTCGTCTTCTGGTGGAATCGAACTTCGAATCTCTTCACCCACATGAATCTTCCAGTAAAGCCAATCGACAGCTGGTCAAGAGGAATCCGCCGTCGTCTTCTGGTGGAACCGCCTTGCTCTGATGATTTTCGCCATATGATGGACGAAAGCTTAGCACCTTTTCACCTGAATCGAAGGAGATTATCTCGGAAATAGCGTCACCGGATGACGGACGAAAGCTTAGCACGTTTTCACCAGAATCGAAGGAGATTGCCTCAGAAACAGCGTCAGCACAAATCTTCCAGTAAAGCCAATCGACAGCTGGTCAAGAGGAATCCGCCGTCGTCTTCTGGTGGAACCGACCTCCGACGCACGAAACTAAGCAAGTTTGCACCGGAATCGAAGAAGATTACCTCGGAAACAGCGTCAGCATGAATCTGCCCGATGTCCGTCATATGACGGACGAAAGCTTAGCACCTTTTCACCGGAATCGAGGGAGATTGCCTCGAAAACCGCGTCAGCATGAATCTTCCAGTAAAGCCAGCACGGGTTCACCGGAATCGAAGGAGATTGCCTCGGAAACAGCGTCAGCATGAATCTTCCAGTAAAGTGACAGCTGGTCAAGAGGAATTCGCCGTCGTCTTCTGGTGGAACCGACCTTCGAATCTCTTCACCAAACACATCTACTCGAAATGAAAGTAAGCCAAACAATTATGAAACAAGAGATTCCTTGAAACCCAACTTTTCTTCGTATATTTTACGCTTCTTGCCAGTTTGCTAGACAATTTTCTCTTCAACTATTCCTTTAATTTATTATCAAGTCGTTTTGTTGCCCAACTATATCCATCATCTTTTATGTGAAGCTTTGCCTGAGGTACTCAGAAGTCGGTCTTATCAAGGATGAAAGAAAGCTTGCTTTGCGGCTAGTGTGATTATGGTTGATTTTATCGTCAAATTGCTCCTAATAATCTCTGACTCACTTTATAGACTCATATCCTCCGAATGGCAGAGTAAGAGACGTCGGTTTCGAGTTCAAGCCGTAATTCAGAATTACAAGGGCTGATAGACAATGAGGCACAATGACGCAGAGTTTGCTTCACTTAGTTGCTACGATGAGATTTATGCACGATGTGGCCCACATCACTCACTCTTTCTCTATCACGCATGCATTCGCATACAAGGATACAAATGCGAATGCCATATTATACTTCATCAAGGTCGCATGTATGATTATAAAAGCATTGTAGGTTCGTTCGAGTTGTGGCATGGTCTCTGAGTTTACCTTAAGAAATCCTAAGAGAAAATTATTTTTGCAGAAGAACATGTCGTTGCCGTCATTACAGTTTAATACAAATTTGGTTCAATCTTCCATGATTATTAATTACGAGTCCTATTTAAGCAATTTTTCACTCTTGATCCTAGCTACAGAAGAATTTACTAATTTAATGGATCATGATAACTCTTTAAAAAAAACATTTTCATTTGCCCTTCACAACCGCCTTCTTTAGCCTCCAGTTGTGCATCGTGACAATAATTGGGTCTGGCTAGACGGTTCAGCAGCTGAGGCCGCTCTTCGAGCTAGAAATTGTGGTCGAGACGCCTTCAATCTCAACCCCTCTGCGATGTCTCATCCGATGGACACTACACTGCCAGTCGGCTGTGCAAAGCCAGCTATCCGTGGACTTTCTGGCTTCGACCCAGATCCCCTCTCATATTCCGAAGCGTCACCGTATCCATGGTCGGCGCGGGTAGACCAACCGGCTTCTAGCCAGATGCAGACTCAGCATGTTCTAGAACAATTCCACCCCAGCCCGAACCAGCCATGCGCCACAGTTCTTAGGAATCTGATGCGTCATTTCTCGCATCCTCCAAGTGCTACAGCCTATTTTCCAGACAGAGAGACACGTTGTCTTCAGGATTGTCAGCATCACAATAGACCCTTGGAGAAAGTTGCTAGGCCCGCAGCTGAAGTTGGAGTCAACTCGTTCGGCGCAGGTGACGATACTGGCCAACTCTGCCGGTCTGGAGACCTCTTGAGCAGAACAGCCTGTAACCAAGTGATCACTCCCAAAAGACACAGCTCTGCATGTGCACAGCGACATTATGAGGTGACTATACATTTAGTGACTTTGGTTGCTTCGCAATTCGTCCCATCTGTGGGGGCTTCTGTTGATGAATCTGCCGGCGTGCTGTGCTGTATTGCATGATGCTAGGGGTGACAATAAGGATGGTAGTGGTACTAGATAGGTCATTTCAAATTAAAGTGTTCCGGTGGTACAGTGAATAAAAAGGCAACTGGAAGTTAGCAGGAAACTAAGTTTTTAGGGTACATTCTATGTTAAGAAAGTAGGGTACTTGGTCTTTCTTAGCATAATGTTGTGTGGTTGGAGATACAAGAGATAGGATGCGAGGAATCAATTAATTAATATGTAAACGATAAAAGATTGGTATTAAATAAATCAATTGTTTTACAATTTTTTCGTATTTTCCGATTTAGACACTCCTTAGTTGATCATACCGGCTAACTGCCTTTTGACTTTGCTGGTACATGTGAAGTAATCTTCTTTAAGATTTAAAGTCATTTGGTTATTTCCAGGCATATGCCAACTTGGAAGTATATGAATGTGCCGGAAGACATAACGTAGTTTAGACCTTGCCTGGATCTCATTATTACCTTCAACTGACTTCGAAGCTGAGTCAAGCACTTCAAGTGGCAATACGCTACCATTGCGCCACAGCCATGGGTTTTAGTTGGGCTCATAGCGAATTTGTTTTTCAAGTAAAGCAGGATCTCTCAAAAATGGCATTTATGGTGGGATTGTTGATGAAAAAAACTTATATTTGCTATTAAAACCGACGATCTTACTTATCTTCTATGACGAATATCAGTAGATTTTGAATAAAAACTTTAATCTCCCTTTATTACTCAATACATAAATTTCTTAAATTGAATGATTCTGTCTCATGTCATTGTCTTCTTATTCATACTTTATTGATAGCTTTGCATCATAATTTTATATAAAGTGAGTTTTATATTATTGAGTCACATTTAGTTCCATCTTCATAATCAACGGCAACCATCACATTCGGAATAATGCTATTTGACTTTATTTCTTTGCTCAACTCAAATGATGATGGGGAAACGAATAGAGATGTAGTATTGCAAATTTGACATGGATCAAGTTTCTGTGTAAAAAGCACTCATTCATTTTTCATTTTATTTTGAGTATGCAACTTTGCATATATATATATAAATATATATATATATATATATATATATATATATATATAT